GGGAAGATCACTTGAGCCCAGGAAGTCGAGGCTGCAGTGAGTCATGATTGTGCCACTATATTCCAGAATGGGTGGCAGAGTCAGACTCTGTCTCTAAAAGAAGAACAAAATAAAGTACAACAGAAATCTGGGAACTCGGACGGGCGCAGGGGCTCATGCCTGTAATCCCAGCACTTTGGGAGACCGAGGCGGGCCAATCACGAGGTCAGAAGATTGAGACCATTCTGGCCAACACGATGAAACCCCCTCTCTGCTAAAAATAAAAAAAATTAGCTGGGCATGGTGGCAAGCGCCTATCATCCCAGCTACTCGGGAGACTGAGGCAGGAGAATCGCTTGAACCCGGGAGGCAGAGGTTGCAGTGAGCCGAGATCATGCCACTGCACTCCAGCCTGGGCGATGGAGCGAGACTCCATCTCAAGAAGAAAAAAAGAAATCTGGGAACTCTGAGAAATACATTTGCTGAACTAAAAAATTCATTAGAGGCTCTCAACAGCAGAAAGGATCAACAAAAGAATCAGTGAGCTTAAAGATACACTGTTTGAAAATGCACAGAGGAGAAAGAAAAGGAATGAAGATCTCCTACAAGATATAAAATATTACCTCAAAAGATTAAATCTAAGAATTGGTACTCAAGAGGGAGTAGAGCAAAAGCAAGGGGTAGAAAGCTTATTCAAAAAAATAATAGCAGTAGCTGGGAATGGTGGCTGACACTTGTAATCCCAGCACTCTGGGAAGCAGAGGTGGGTGATCACCTGAGGTCAGCAGTTCAAGACCAGCCTGGCCAACATGGTAAAACCCTGTCTCTACTAAAAATGTAAACAAATTAGCTGGGCGGGGTGGTGCATGCCTGTAATCCAAGCTACTTGGGAAGCTGTGGCAGGAGAATCGCTTGAACCCAGGAGTCAGAGGTTGCAGTGAGCTGAGATCACACCATTGCACTACAGCCTGGGCAACAAGAGCAAAACTTGGTCTCAAAAATAATAATTATAATAATAATAGCAGAAAATGTCCCAAAACTTAAGAAGAAGATATTTATGGCCAGAGAACACCAAACACATTTGACCCAAATAAAACCACCCCCAGGCATATAACAATAAAACAATAAAACTGTCCAAAGGTTATGGACAAAGAGAGGATCTTGAAAGGAGCAAGAGAAATGAAGCAAATAACATAAAATAGCTACAGTTCATCTGGCAACAGACTTCTCAATGGAAACTGTACAGATCAGGAGGGAGTAGAATGAAAAAAAAAAAAATGCCAGGCTGGGTGTGGTGGCTCATGCCTGTAATCCAAACGCTTTGTGAGGCCGAAGCGGGTGTATCACTTGAGGCCAGGAGTTTGAGACAAGCCTGGCCAACATGATGAAACCCCTCTCTACTAAAAATATTTAACAATTAGCTGAGCGTGGTGGGATTTGCCTATAATCCCGGCTATTTGGGAGGCTGTGGCACGAGAATTGTTTGAACCTGAGAGGCACAGGTTGCGGTGAGCTGAGATTGCACCACTGCATTCCAGCCTGGCAGACAGAGTGAGACTCTGTCTCAGAAATAAAGGACTGGGCATGGTGGCTCACGCCTGTAATCCTAGCACTTTGGGAGACAGGGGCGGGTGGATCACCTGAGGTCAGGAGTTCAAG